TCCCTGTGCACCACAGGACCAGTCTGCCCCCAGCCCCGCACACATCTCCCTGGACACCACAGGATCGGTCTGCCCCCGGCCCCGCACACATCTCCCTGGGCACAGAGAGCCAGGCTCAGACTGGAGCTGGCAAACGCCCGTCTTTACGCCTGTGTTCGAACAGGCTGTGTAGAAGAGAAACCAGATCCTCGGGGCGTCTGCGAAAGTCCCCCCAAGAGCACCGGTGTCGTGTGCCCGCAGCAGCTTCTGCCTGACGCGAGTGGACAGTGCTGCCACTGCCAGCGTAGTGAGACTGAGACCCAGTCCCAGCGCCAAGCCCTCGATTCCCGGCAGCCACAGGGCCAAACCCAGCCAGACGGACGAGCTGTGCTCCTTTCAATGGAGACCTTGCCACAACCCTGCAGCACTTCCCCTCCCACCCAGGTAACAGCGCTGCATACTGGCTCATCCCCACTATGGCTGGCTTCCATTCCCCCCCCGCCCCACGCTACCCCAGAGGTGGCCGCATTTCTGTCCGACTGCCTGTAAGGTGCTATGAAAATGTCATCCACGACCTACATCCCCAGCACCCCCCTCCTCCCCACGAGCAGCACCGTGCACTCACTCAGCAGCAGCCGCTGGGCTCCGAGCAGCAGAAAACCCGCCCGACACCTTTGCACGGAAGGTGAGAGGGCTGCAAAGGGCTTCCTGTGCGCGGCTGTATTGTTTGAAAGTTTCCTTCCTGCCCGGCCTGGTTTGGCACAGCCATGCTTATTAGTGAGCAGATACGATCTTATCGAGGCAGCTGGAATCGAGTGCACCACCGGCTCCCGATGGCACGAGACCAAGCAGGAACCGCTCCCCCCAAATTATCGATGGCAGATAACGGGCAGCCTCCACAGGCTCCCTGGAGAGAACCGCACGGGATTCAGAGCTAAGCAAGGGCTGGTGCGCTTTGCAGTTCTGAATACACTGCAGCCGACTCTACCCCATTGAGTAGCCCCTCCGAAAGGGCTGTGGGGTGCCGAATGGAGCCGTGAGGGGCGCTCCTCCTGGGGAGCGGTGGGTTCATGGTGGGGAGGATTAAAGAAGAAAAGTCATAGCCGTACACGTCTGTATGGTGTCTTTCAGCCATGAGTGCTTCGCGGACTATATGCAGGCAGCACCAGGGAAGTGCGGCCACCCCTGGGGAGGAGCGCACCGAATAGGAGTGCGAGTGGTGTGTTTTTAGCAGAGGACAGCGGGACAGGCCCCTAACTCATGGGGACTGGTGTCCACAGGCAACAGACCGGCGCTTGGGGCGGGGGGCAGAGCTCCATTTTGGTGGTGCTACAACTCCTCCTGGCTGGAACGGGCCCTGCTGCAGGCCGGAGTGGGAGCAGGCGGGGCCCTGCAGACAGGAACTAAGCCCCAGCGAGGGGGCTGGCGCACAGCGCAAGGGGGAGAACAGGACGGCTGCTCTGGCAGAGAAGCTGGTAATGCCGAGGGGGGCTCTACCCGGCTCGGTGGGCTGGTCCCTCCCGAGCTTACCTCGGCTTCCCGCACAGTGCTACATTCAGTGTCCACAGACCCCGGGACACTCTCCTAAGGGCGGCCCTGGGCTCCCAACGGATCTCAGAGCCCCTGTGCTCTGATCACCCAGAGCCGCTCCGACGCTGCAGGGCCAGGTCCCGAAGCCACCAGCCAAGTCCCATGTCCAGGTGGCACATCCTGAGCAGGCCTGTATCCCAGGAAGGAGAACTGGGGCCCACCCACCGCGTCAGGGACGGAGCCACACGCACCGGGAGGGAGGAGTTAGCCCTCGCCCGGGTCCACGCTCCAGCTGACTAGCACCTCATCCGCATCGGTCACCTTCTGGTTATAGCCCTGCAAGCCTAGCACCGCCAGCACCCCCCTCCATCGGCAGCAGCCCACACCCAGCCCCCCGGGGCCTGTCCAGCACCGATCAGAACAAGCGATTCCAGTCACAGGCACCCCACCGCCCACCTGGTAGCTACTCAGAGCCATCCACTGCGCTGCCAGCGACCTCTAGCCGCTTACCAGCCCCCATTAGCTTCCTCACGCCGCGCCACTTTTCCCTGGTGGAGAAGCTCATGGGAGGCAGGACCCCCACCCCGATGCACCAGTCAGGCTCCAAATTACCTTGTACCTTTTGTTAAACAGACACTCAGAGCCACAAACCAAGCCAGGGTGGGCACTAGGAGAGCACGGGGAACTTCCCAGCACTTCACCAGCACCAACGGCCGGGCATTTGCCCTCCACACAGCCCAACAGTGCTTAAAGGGACACGCCAGGCTACCCAGGTTGCTCAAAAAGAGCCATCTTTGCAGGTGTTTGTGAGCAACCCAGCAGGCGAAATCAACAAAGGAGGGGGGGAAGAACTCCAAGTGGCTTTTCCTCGCAGAGGGACCTGCTCCCTGCATTTCGCCCAGCCAGGCCGGTGAAGTGGACCCGTCGCATCCTGGTTCTCGTGCTCCAATTCTGACGTACCGACCCACCTGGCCTTCCCGTATTGCCCAACGGCCAGACGGGGTCCCAGTGTGAGAGTCACTGCTCGAGCTCAAAGCTGAGATCCTTGGGTTTCAGGTGCAAATTCAAAAACAATGTTCTCAATTAGTCCCCCCCTTCCCCTCCCCCCACCAGCCATGCCACTCCCCATTTTGCCAACAGCCGCCATTCAAGCTGTGTGTGGAGCTAGCTGCCTTCATCTCCCAGACAGGTAGTAAGAAAAGGACGCATCTAACCCCACGGGCTTGTGCTTAAAGCCCTGCATTCAATTAGCACGGGTTGGAATCAGCAGGTTTTCCAGGGTAATTGGAAACCTTTGGCCACTCGCTGTCAATCATGGACTGTGTATAATTTTTTGCGTTTCTATAATGACTTGCAACTCAAAGTACTTTGGGAATTATGCCGAGGCGGCACCCCTGAAATGCAGCCACCTCTGGGGTGGAGGGTGGCAGTCAACCAGCAAAGAGTACAACAGCGTCATAGGAAGGGGGATAATGACAATGCAGTAACTTTTAATGTCTCATCCAAGGGCCCAGCCCCCAACAAACAACATGGCGCTGTCTGAAGGCCTTCGGAGACTCTGGGAGTCAGCGCCATTGGGTTTCAACCTGGGGTTCTCTCCCGGAGGTGACTGAGCTGTCCCCTGCCAACAAAGCACAAAAGCCAAGACGCTCTCTGTCGCACACCCACAAGGACAGGGCTGGCAGTGCAGGGCCAGGAGGGCTAGCGATGCACAGAGGAGGGACAGGTAGGACTGGCAGTGGGAGGGTGCGAAAGGGTCAGTCAGAGGGACGGAGCTAGTAGCAGGACCGATGGCTGGAAGAAGAGCTGCGCCATTGCCCACGTCCCCCGCTTTCCAGCATCCCTCCGTCACCGGCTGCGTCCTCTGCTTTGCTTTGACAGGACAGAAGCCCCCCACGCGCCTTGCCGCACTGGAAGAGTATTGCCAGGGGGGGGGGAGCAGGGGGAAGGGGGTGTACAGTACAGTAGCTGCCCTGAGAGCCACTTGAAGGGGGCTCCAGAAGATGAACTCAAGTAGCCCTTGCACTGCACATCTCATAACCGTGGCTAGGAGCACGTCCAGGGAGGCAGACGGCGTGTAAACGGCTACTCCAGCCGATCACTCCTTGCACCTACAAACGGTCTGAAAACACCAAAGGGCAGGAGAACACCTGGGCAGCTTCCCACTGGCCCCAAAACTTGTTCCATCCAAAACCTAACATTAAAAAGAGTGGCAACTCCCCTCTCGTGGGGTGTGTTCAGAGGAGTGCGACAAAGGCCCTGCTAGCACAAGAGAGCCCTGGTTTCTGGGTGGCACTAATGGAATCCAATACTTTAGAGACCCACGGCGAGCAGAAGAGAAGCAGTGATTTAACGCCCCTTTGTTTGCTTCCCTCCCCCCTTCATTCACAGCAGAAAGACTGACTAGACAGTTGCCATTTCTGCTTTTCTTCCCAGCCTGGGGCAAGGCCTGGGTTGCAAACCCTGCAAGGGGATGTTTCGCTGGGAAGAGAAGATCTTTGCATTTTAAGAAACATTTTGCAGATTTTTTTCTCTCAATAACTAAGTTTGGCCAAACCTTTAATGTGCGCACTACTCCTACAACGCTGGCCCTGGCTAGCGGCTCCCTGCAGCCGCCGCACTCAGAGACACAGCGGAAACGAACAGAACAGGTTCCAACATTAACACAACCGAGTAAATCTCTGATTCTTGCACACAGGAAAGCGTGGTTAGCAGGCAAGAGCCGTTACCTTTGTAAATACCATTTCAGGTGACAACATAATCTGTAGGACTCGGGGAGGGGGTGCCATCCGTGGCCTAGAAATCTGTATTCTCTGCTTACCCTACAGGTTCTTCCCCAGCAGGACACCCCCCCAGGAGATAAATATCTGCTCCCCCCCCCTTTTTTTTAATAGAGCAAACAAAAGGTCCACATGCAGCTTGAGTGTGGAGGAAAAAGGTACCTGGAAATTAGAAATTTTCCCATGGGAAACAGGGATGGATTCCACCTCCCCTACCCAGAGCTCCCTCTGATTCCCAGCAAACCCATTTTGTAGCCAGACTGAAACTTTCCAAAGGCGATTCCCGATTCCCCATCCCCCCCTCCACACAGCCCCACAGGCAAAGCCCGGCTGGGTTGGGAAGGTTCAGAGCCACGGCCAGGCTGGGTGCAGAGGCCAGATTTGGGGGAAGGCCTGGGATGCATTAATTTTATTCAGGTTCTTATTGGTGGTACCCAGGCTGCAGGTCGGGGGAGTGGGGGGTAATGAGAAGGGGCCAGCTACTGCCCTGCTAGGGCAGGAACGGGGAGCTCTGGGTATCAGTTTTCTGGTTGCTCCCCTACTGGGGGCGGAAGCTGCCATGGGTTGGCAAGGGGGTGGCTGAGGAGCCGCCGAGCCCGCAGGGTAGGACGCATGCAGACTGCCCTAGGCATGGGGTTAGCGCGCCAGGGAATCCGCACATGCGGGCGCTGCCCCGGGGAAGTTGGCAGCACACGAGGGTGACCCCGGAGCTGCCCCCCAGGTTCGCAGTGTGCAGAGGGGGGTGGTGGGGTTACACAGGAGGAATGGCCCTGAGATGGCAGGTGGGAATTGACTGCACTGGGGCTTGCAATGTACGGGGTCTGGGGGAGGCACTAAGGGGGTGGGGGAGAAAGAGACTGAGGGGGCAAGGGCTGAGAGGGCAGCGCACAAAGCTGGGGCGCAGGTGCCTGGGAGAGGGAGACGGGGGGGGGGTTCAGGTGCACGGGGGCTGCCGGGGAGGAGAGTCCAGGGAGAAGGGGAGCTGGGTGCACGGGGGCTACTGGGGGGGAGGGGGGC